TAACTTAATACTATATTTTAGCCAAATTTTAATCTTACGTTTCAATCAAGGGTCAAAAGATATGCCTTAAAATTCAATACTTAAAAAAGTTAAAAATTGGTTATTAAAAAAAAGAAAATTGGTACGTAACCTGTCTTTAAAGTGGGCAACTTGAATCTTTTTATATATATAGTCAATATTAAAAATTTAATTTTAAACTGCACAACTGCAAAAATTTTAAACTTTGCATACTTAATAAATTCATCACCTTGATTTTTGTCATTTAATGACATCTATGTTAAACTAGTCATGACATTTAATGAACTTAAACAAATGTTATGAGAGCATAAAAATATGTCTTTTTGTTACATTAAAATATAGATCGACGCACTATGCGTCACTCTAATACAAAATGAGGGAATAAACTTATAAATAAGGAAGCAACTTTGTAGTGGAATTACAATATTTCCTGTTTCTGAGAAAACTCGCTCTGATGCTGCAGAAGATGCTAGAACGGAGAGCACAGCACGAGCAGCTGTAAACAAAAGTGGAAATCGAAATTCATTTTGTTTCCACCAACAAAGGACATAGGTATTTTTTGGCACTTTGACTTTTAAAAAAGCTTCCCACTTCATTAAAAAAAGAAGTTTCTCTTCAGCTCCAACCATTGGGCCTGTTGCTTATTCTTCACCTCTGCAGGCTTCATAAAGGGGATCGTTTTCACGGGAAAACCTCTCAAAAATCTCTGGACGTGTTGCAGATTTCCATTCTTCGTAAGAAGAATGTTCGTTAATAATTTCTTGTTTGACCTTTTTGAATAATGGCGGGGAGAATCGAAGTAGAGCTACACCACGGTAACGTGGATCTAAAAAATTGGCTTCAGCAAAAGCTTTCTCATCGCAGCCATGATTGTTAAACTTTTCTTCAAGCTTGGACACAATAGCTGCACAGTAGTTCTTCACATCTTCTGTGTTTTCTTCTGTCATGTTGTCAGAGAAGATTTTGTGCAAGTTGAACACTTTGGGAATGACTTCATGAGTTGATGGCTTGTCTTCAACAGACAAAGTGTTGATTGCGTCATTTTCTTTTCATCATGTGCAAAGTTTTCTGCCAGGTTTCTTTGTATTTTCTTTGTATTGAACAATTGAGTATGAACAGAAGAATAGGCTTCACATCTAAAATTGACCTCAAGCAAAAAAACACACTATTCCAGCGTGTCTTGAAAATGCTTTTGTTTTTTGTTTTTTTTTAATTTTATGGAGTAATCCTTTAAACAAATATTTTTGTTTCAAGTGCGCTGCAGTGGTCTCCATTTGGCATGCAATCTTGGATGAGTTTTGAAGCAAAGAGGAAAACGCTTTTGTTTTTTCGAACCAAGAACTGGCTTTAAGTCCAGCCAAGCTGGCCAGATTTAACCGATGATTGACACAAGAAACTGGTTAGACTGATGGTGATGAGTTTTTTAAAAAAAGCCTTCACATTGACGGCAGGAGCATCATGGGTGAGAAAGATTTCACAACCATTGGGTAATTGAATTTGTAAATCCTGAGTTGAACTGGAAGAATAAAATCATAACATTGTAAAAATAATTAAATGCAAAATTGTTAGAGGCACATTGGTGCAGTAGCATAGCGAAACGGGGGGTAAAGGGCCTTTTCCTCAGAGCGCAAACGATTAAAGAGGCGCCAAAAAAAAAAGCTCGCTTTTTTATAAAAAGCTTTTTTCCGAAAAAAAAATTTATTATAAAAAGGCCTTTTTTTGCTATTTTGGACACGGGCGCTAATGACCCTCGCTATGCCACTGCATTATGAATACCAAAATCTATATATCTTACTAAAACTATAGTTTCCGTCAAATGATCAACATTAAAAGTAACCAAACAACTTTTTTTAATTGGAATATGACAGAAAATCTATTAATACAGTAAAGTCTCCCAATTTTTTAGTTAATTATAATTTGCTTGAAAGAAATCATAAAATAAAATAAAATATTTTTTACTAATATAACCAATACCATTCCAATTTTGCCCAAAATCATTGCATTAAGTGCTTACTCCGAGAAGAGTTTTTGTAAGTTTTCAGCAGTCTGTGGGATATCAGTTGGCTCACAACACCACAAAATTCTCCGTATTTAGCAGTTGTTGTTGATGTAATGGACTGTGATGGAATTATATTTGTCACATAATGGAGAGGACCATCCATTAGTGGTAAAACCAATGCGCATAACCATTTTGATCTCGAAAAAGACGATGTCTTTCACAGCTTTTTTCTCAGCCTCAAATACAATTGGAAGTTTATTCTGAGCGTAGGTCCTTGCAGAGCGAAGTGCGGACTAAATATTGCTTGAAACATTTGTTGAATCGATGCGAGTTCCATAAAGTGAATTGAAACGTTTGAGTTTGCAAGGCCTAGACACACTTCATAGTCAAATCTTAATTGCATTAGATCATGCGACTTCAGCTTTAGAAAATGTGAACTCTGAATTTCCCGTGCAGTTGAAAGTAACTATCAGCTCCAGTTCCTAGAAATATTTTTAATTGCTGTTATCATAAGAGCTTCAACTCCTAAAAGCAGTTTTGCAAGTTTTCAGAATCATTAAGTATTAAAAAATGATTGCCTCTTATTGATGCCAAAAACTCAAGATTTTCCCCAGAAGTGGCTTGTTGAGATTTCATTTATTCCTCCTGCCGCAAAACTTCATTATACACAGTTTTTTGTTTGTGCTTGAGGTGTGACTTCATGCCAGTTGCAGAAGCATTTTATCTAGCAGTTCTGTTAGAGGCGACATCTGGACATAACTTGCATTTGACTTGTAGAACATTTTTTGAAGTCGGTTTAACATCTTCAAAGTTATTCTACCAGAGTTTTTGCCTTTTTCGACCAGGTGGGAGTCTAGTTTCTGCAAATTTAAAAGAAATCATTTACAAGTTCAAAAAGTAACAATACCAATTTTATAGCAAGTATTACTTAGTCTACTTTAAGATCCCTATTTTACAATCTTATAATATAACTTAAAAATGAACAAAACAATTTTAATTACTGCTTGGAGTCTATTTAAAAAAATTACTCTGGCTTATAAATCATATTTATTCAAAAAAAGAGAAAATAAATGAATAAAAAATATACCACCCATTTTGTGATTGAAAATAAAATTAACCTCTGATCCTAAGGCAAAAAATGAGTCTGATACTAGATGCAAAATCTAAAAGATTGAAAATAAATTTAAATTGTAAACATTTTTTTTTGCTGTTTTTTTACATGTTTATGTTTACAAACTTAGTTGTGCAAAAGTTGTGTGACACTACTTTTTTGAGAAAAAAATTGAGCCACACAAGTTTTGTGAAAAAAACACAAACTTTACGTACTCTCTTAAAATTTGTGCTTTTGAAATTTAGGACTTCATGCTGTGAAAAAACATTTCCTTCGCATGCTAAAAAAAATGAATCATAAAACTTACCTTTTTACTGCATTTGATTATGAATCTTTCAAAAACTGAAATTTTCTTTTGACTTACGCAACTCAGAAAGTTTAACTTGTCACGCTTTAATATTGGCACGCTCTTGACACGGAATTGAGCAGCCGTGGCGCAGTGGTTAGAGTTCTGGCACAGAACCCAGAGGTCCGAGGTTCGACGCCAGCTCCAGCCCAACAAGCGACATTGGTACGGAAGGAGGCGTGAACTTCCTATTAAATGCTCTCCCGCGGTGCTTTATGATAAGACCATAAGGACTTCTGGGAGCACCTAAATACATACAAAAAAAAAAAAAAAAAAAAAAAAAAAAAAAATTCCGTATCAATTCTTCCGCGGAAGAATTATTTATTACGTAATAAAGAACCGTGACTATACAACAATAAAAAAAAACCTAATTTGTACTAGTCGGCTGGAAAGGATTAGGCTGTCTAATATTAAAGTTAAAATATAATTTTAGACTTATTTAAGTCTTAAATTTTAGTTAATTAAACGTTTATTGTGTAAATACTAAGTAGATAGTAATTCAACATAAAATATTTTTTGAATCGGGTAAAATC